AGTAAGTTTTGTCAAGAGATCACGAAGAATAGGTCTAAGCAAGTATTCTACATAACTCCCGTCTTCTAAATTTTCTAGAAACTCAGCAAAAGTCGATGCCACACTCAGAAATATCCCATTTTTGTCCTGGAATGAAGGGAAAATATCGTATTTGGTCAAGGAATGTTCTGTCCTGTGTGTTCACTTATGCTCACTTTCTTCACCTTACCATGTGACCAAACCGGATTTCAAACTGCTGTTAAATGATTATTGGGTATCATTGTTTACACCTTGCGATTACATATTTTAACTTACCTTGATATTGTCTGTTTTTATGTTTCCCCAATAACGTGCAACTTTGTCTACTATGGAATGTGCTTTTGGTCCAGTTGTTTTATAACATAACTTCTTTATAAAATCCAACGTATCTAGGTATAATTCGTCAAATAAATTGTTGGCTCTGTAAAAGCAAGAAATGCAATTTTCTATTTCGTTACATCAATATCTGACAATAATAAATACTAATAATAAAGACACCGTTTACTTGTGTACATCAATATCATGAGAGACTAAAACAGTGGCGTAGCGCAGGGGTGGGGAGGGGCCTCGGCTCCCCTTTGTTTTTTAGAGGATATTAGTTATAAATTTTTATTATCTAGGAATGAGGAAAATGCATCTAACGTGAGTGAATAATTTTTTCATTTCATCTGTCCTAAGGGATTTGTAAATATAACATAATGCGACCATAAATATCGCTATTAGCTACTTACTTCATTGCGTCAATTAACTTGTTTATTTGTTCGTCAACGACCTCTACACATTTTTTTGAGTCTGATTCTGAGGCAGTTGTCATAACAGATACCAATGTACTCATAGAGCGTCTACAAAACTCAGCATTACCCACTGCCTGTACACAATGCAGGAAACAATACGTAAGTCATAGATATACTAAGCCGCACTATTGGAGGAAAATGGTACAAAATTGAACTGAGATGATATCAATACATTGTCTTTGTAACAATTCTAATAGACAAGACACCACCCAGTTGAAGTTTTAAACGTGATGAGTCTTGTCAGTGTTTGAAGATTACTGTTTATGTAATAAAATGAAGAAAACTATTGAAATATATAATAAGTTTCGGGAATTCGTGTGTCTTTGAAATAAACAGTGTAGAGAAATACCAATGGTAATCAAACAATAATATAATATGTCTATAGAATTATAGAGGAAATATTGAAAAAAGAGTGTTGGTAAATATGGTAACAAACAGGGTACACTAACCGCATATGGTTTTCTGTCCATCAAATAATATAATTCTGAAGAAAGGTCTTTCATTGAAGTTTCTATTTCGTTGTTTTTACCGATCTTATTGGTTTCAAAAAATAAATATAAATTGGCTAAATCAGTCTGAAGAAGTGACCAGTGACTGAAAAAATCAATTTTGAAGGTTAAGAATTTACAGACAGCTTGTAGTGTAAATCTGATAAATATTGTCGAAACTTATTACCGCTAATTCACTATACATTTAAAAGTTATTAGTACCCAAAATAGAATAGAAGTCCACATAATCTACATGGTAAGTTCCAGTGTAGTGCCAAAACTGGTACAATGTTTAGCTTCTGACTTACGGTGATTTTTTACAGGAAGCAACTATATAACCGAATCCCGGTTTTAATCTATTCTCAAAGTCACGACTATTCTCGCCTTCTACTGGTTGGAAATCTTTTTTAAAATGGTTAAGAATTATCCTCCACGTTTCAACTGGTAAAGTCTAAAATGAATAAACATACAAGAAAATAGTCAATCGCTTCCAATGTCACATTACCTTTTGAGGCATTTCACTATGTTAAGCTTGTATTTTTAGGCCCTGTATGGGGTGGAAGCATTAAATGGAGTGAGATGGGAACCAGGGTTTTTATTCCTGAAAGCTTAACTAAGATAAATAAGTTTAAGAAATACAATAAAATTGCCCCGAAGGCCGGTTATTCGGGCAAGGCGTTTGCATAACTGTCATAACAAGGTTAGAAATTCGGGCAACCTCGGCTATTTTGCCTTCTGTCAGACCTTGCTCTGCCACTGCACACAATACCAATGACTTTACACATGACTATAGAATGTTGATACTAGTTCCAAATATTTACTTTTAGATATTGGTGAAAATGTGAATCTTCGTCACATATAAACTTTTTCCATGTGTTAAGGTGGGTACTTCTAGGACCAATGGTTGTTGATTCCAGTATCAAAGCCAAGACTTGCTCTTCTATCGGTTGTCTGAGTCCATCCAATGCCGTATCACTGGAAAAACAAACAACCACTAAATGTAAACCTCATATTATCATACTTAAGACTGCTCCATGAACATAAACATATTGCCGTTACTTGATTGTGATAAATGTTTAAATGTTCGAAACTATTTATTGTCAAACTGAACTAATGTTATAGATTGTTTAATTACTTTAAAACTTAAAGGGAAATGGTCATTTGCTCTTCAAATTGAAATAAACGTTAAGTCTTAAATGCTATTCATATCTAAAATTGAACTCTTAAGTGTCGAAGTGAGGATTTTTAACTCGGTGAAGTTCTGCTCAATTTACAAATATAATATGTTTGTCGATCATTATTAATACCTACCATGTAATTTCTTCAATCTTTTTAGCTGTAGCCATTGCCATATGGTCAGGATCATGCCACGTGCCACTATTATCCGACTCAATTCCGAACCGCTCGAAACAAATCTTATATCTCAGAGCATATACAGCATTAGCTAAATATGCAACGATATGGTCTGGAGGCATACTATCAGCTTTAAGTTCCCATTGATCCAAAATAGACAGATAATACTCCCGTTGTTCAACATTAGGGTTGTGGAAATTGGTGGCATTGATGACGGCTGCTAGATCGGCTGAAGATTTAATAAATAACAATTTTTTTTAAAATACCTAGTGTGGTTTGAAAAATTGAGTTTTACATCTATCTCTGTATCCCTTGTAATGGGCAATGAAACAAGCATTATAATGTGTACTGACGTAAGTTCACTTACTTTCAGCGTTTTTATGTTACGTGCCCTGTTAAAAACCTCCTGCAAGCCACACTCTTCTGTATATAACTTAAGTGATTATTCATTTTAACTGGAGAGATATTCGATTCGGATTATTTGGCTTCACAACAACTAGCCATATGAAGTGTGTGTTGGTAAAATAAGGGGGCGATACTCCTAAATTAAATACTTGTATATAAGTTTTAGATTAATGTAACGAATGGTAAGTAGCCTATAGTAATATTTCATTGTCATAATAGTCGGTTTCAACCCAATGTTAGGCTAATATACTACGAATATTTGTCTTGAATTATATTCAAAATAAAGCATATTATTTTTTGTTCTTTTGGGAATATCAAACGTACTGAACATCCATTCAAACGTATAGTCGTATTATACACGTACCTTCATTAACTTATTTCATGCGCACGGGCAGGTAAAGACAACGGTGACATGCATTATCCCCCCTTACTTTCTAATAGACTTACCGTTCATTTTTGACCTTTCGATATGCAATTTGCAAGCTCTATTCGTCAAAAATCAAGTATGATATTTTTGTTAAGCCATGAGTATGGTTCCTTTTTATCGCGAGACATTACAGATAATATATAGGCCACTGTGATCGATGTACATTGTTATTCTTCTGTCATGACAACCAGTCAACATTTAATTTGCTTTATAATAGTTCACATATCTCACTGCATTTACAAGTTATCATAATAAATATATCATCTGACACCACGACTACGTCATGATAGACAGATCACGGGTGAAATAAAAGGTCTGAAACGAATGATTAGTTAACCGAATGTTTAATTGATTGGAATGTCTGTGTCATGAATCATATACTAAATACAGTAAAATACTTATCACTATGGGTTTGAGGAAATATATAGTTGATGTTATCATTTTATTGAACATTATAGTACAATAAAATATTTTGTTAACTAAGCAATTTAAAACATCCTATAAGTTCAAATATAAGATATGATATAATATAATGTAATATTCTGATAAATAAGCTATTTAAAACATCCTAAGCAATCCAAAGTTCAAATATATATTCAAAGATATAACATAATATTCTGTTAAATAAGCATTTACTGAATTTCAACATCATATGTACCAATGTACTAATATGAGCACTTATATGTTGTGATCTCTTCAACGGAATCTAACTACCGGTACTTGAAAATTAAACCTTGACCGCCTTATTGACCATGAAGAGACTGTTACGAAAATCCGGAATAAACGATTTTGACATTATCACTTGTTATAGGTTTATATCTTAGGAGTAGACGCTATCATGATGAGCCCTATAGTTGTATTAGGGAGTCTCGTGATTTTTATCCAAGCCGTTCGAAGGTAAGAAATTGGTCGTAAAAAATCTGCAGATATTCGAGAATTTTGCCGGATCGTCATAATATTTTACTGATTTTTCTTCAGATAAAAGACTTTCACGATTTCAATTTAGACCCTGACAAATTTATTATTGGTGCCTCGTATTAGGCCTGTAATGTTGCCGTGTTCTATTTTTTCACGTCCCATTAGAAACTGATGACGTTTGAACTCCCAACTGTTTTGTTGTTAGGGTTTACTGCAATGTATCTTCACCTGATGATGATATGTTTGTGACTGTTGCATTTTGCTATGCCTGTGGGATTAATGCATATATTTATTGGTGTTTATTTTAAACGTCTTTGCTTCATGTTAGATCACTATTCTACCGGTAGTGTGCTGGTATAGCTAGCCTATCTCTTGATTGACCATTGGAGACAAATAGCATCACCAGCTTTTACCGGACATTCTCTGTGCTAAGTTTTTAACAATTGAATATAATTTACATGATTTAATCAATATTTTATTTGTTCAAAACATATAATCTGAATATAAATACCGTTTCGGAAATAGGGCGAGGCAAATACTAACTCGTCACGTAATTCTATGTGGTATTGTCAACCGTCGAGCTGATGATATACCACTATGTTTGATGGGGTATTTGTGCGGGAAGAGAAACTCCAAATAAACGTCTTGAATTTTTGTTTTTCAGTGGGTATGTGATATCCATGCCAAAAGATGTCCAACGAGGTAGAAAAACCCCAGTTTGTTTTTCATTTCACAATAGTAAAGAGTATGTGAAAGTTAGTTTGAAGTTGTCAAAGGGGGACAATGCATATTTTTATGATCGCAATACGGTGGGATATGGTAAGCTCACTATTTCTATACTTTTCAAGTGCAACTCATTGATCCTTGATAAGGAATGAATAGTGCTCAGTGTAGTATAATAGAGAATTCAACCTTCTTGCTAAAGCCATTGTTTTAAATCCTAATTGGGGATGATTTCCCATCAGTGAGAGCTTCCGGATAAGGTGTGTACGATTTGTTTTATATCAAGAGTTTGTTTTTGATGAGTTATATCCTAGAAGAAAGCAACGACTTATCGAACAAACCCTTAACATGCACTGTTCTATTGTTTGCAGTAGCGGGCCATGTACCCGCACCCCCCCCCCCCCCC